AATTGTTTCAGACATATTTTTCAGAAAGTATATACTAAATGAAAGATACTTTAAGAATAATAGCCAAAGTTGAACATGTAACTTCCCGAATGTGTTTCGGTATGTCACTATTTTTCATTGAACTGTTTTGAATGAAAACAAAATGTTATAATTCAATTACTTCACAGAACAAATATTTTTCAGATCCAAGAACTTCATTTAATGATTGAATCTTCCATACGAATTAGGAAAAAAATACGTTAACATTTACCATCAAATATGACAATAAACACCCTTTACATTCCATGTAATTCCTACCTAACATGCAACAAATGGTCTCATGCTCGATGCTCCAGGTCCCATTTACGGCTTTCTCTTCCTCGAGATCTTCCTCCATAAAGCGAGTGTTATTTCAATATAATTTACTCTGCAGATGTTGGGATTGCTAAACTACGGTAACAGCCTGAATATAGTCCCTTCACTTGACGCACTTCACTCGGAGTGGGCCTGCGCAGTTCAGGGGCTTGAGCTCGCGTTTAATAACGTTAAACGTTTTTTTAAGAATGAGAGTTGCCAAGCGTTGCATGCTCGGTCCTAAAATTCGATTAGCTGCGTAGGCGGGTCGAGAATCATCTCTGTGAATTATATGCAGATGCAGTGGTAGGATATGTTTGCGTAAAATTTGCGTAGGATCAGTTAGAAATTCTGGATTCCTATAATTTGGATCAAAATTGAGAAATAATGTTTCTTTTGTTCGAGAAGGAATTACATCGTATAAAAAGTGAATCGATGGGGACTTTTGTGAATTGATTGGTGGATCAATCTGCAGGATATTTTTGCGCTAGATGGGCCTGGGTTCTGGAAGAAATTATGAGCGTTAAATTATGTAACTCAGATAATAGTTGGGCAATAATGGTTTGTGTCCGAAAACCAGAAGGCCATATATATGTGAATCAATTGACGCTTTTGAATGTTTTACACGTACATCTGTTTTGAGAGATCTACCCTTAGATATTAGATTATAAGTTGGAACTATATACGAGTATGTTTTAAGTTAGAAATAATATGTCTTACCGCTATATAATGTAAATTCTATTATGTCCTTATATAGTTTTGCAGTGTGTTTAATAATAATAATGAAATTTAAATAGAACAAGGATCAATAAAGTATTTGATGAAAGCTATCGCCAAGTTATCATAAAATAAAGTGAATATAAACGAATCTTACGGTCGTCTTTACGGTCAAAAGAAAAATTCTCTTGATTCCAACAGTAAATGTGTAAGAAAAATAAGAGTTCATAAATATTTTTCCTGAAATGTCTGAAAACCGCTTGTGACTTTATTTAGAATTTGCACAAAATTGAAGTATAGCTAACCTCAAAAATTATAAAATTCATAAACTAAGTCATTAATTTCCAACTATTTAACAAAATAAGATTTGAAATAAGACGAGATTTTAACAGAAAAAAAAGATTTAACAAAAGAAGATTTAGAATAAGAAGAGATTTGAACAGAACAAAAGATTCAACAAAAGAAGATTTGCAATAATCCCCTGCAGAATGTTGAAGCGAAGTCAACATGGCGTGTCTCGTGTGGGCTTACAAGTCCGCGTGTTGATGACATATCTTGTCAATATCTTGTATCTTTGTAATCTTTATTTCTAAGAAAAAGAAATCTTTCAGACCGTTGGAGCGCAGACCGTTTATTATATAAATATTTATTTTTGAAAATAATGTCCTCGAGACCGTCGGATTTGGTCTGGAAGGTTCGCGCTCGTCAAAGCTTTCCTCGACGGAAGAAAATGTTTATGGCCGATGCACTGGAAAACAATGCGATACGTTTTCCTGTAGCTTAAAATACGCTTCGGTATTGGAGGCCTGCTCATACTGACTGTCATTGAAGTAGTTTTGTATTTCTACTTGTATTGGAACGACGAGTAGGATTTTTCTTGGGTACTCGTAACAATATTTTAGTTAAAAATGTTTTCATAGTTTCATTCATAACCACATTCAAAGGGTAGGATTAATGCCATATAATTGGAATTAAATAATAAATTATTACCGAATTTCCACTGCTATGTTAAATCGGACAACATATTTTCGTTACTGTTTTGCATAAGCTTAACCATTTTAATATAATCGTATAGGGGAGGTTATTTGCTTACTCAAAATATTTTTTGCGTGGTTGTAATGGTTGTTGTTACCTCGAAGTCGATGATAGATAAAAACCTATGATGAGTTGTTAATTAGTATGGCTGGTATTAACACACGATTAAATTAATTTTTTTCTCTATAGTAAGATGTTTGACCTAAATTACAGTCAATATAGAAAGCTACGGAAGGTTCGACTTATATATGCCTAAATGGTAATAAGATAAACGAAAAATGTATAAACGAAATTTATCCCAACGAAAAAATAATATTAAAACACGAGTCTTAGAACATACCTCCCTGTATCGGCCCTTTCGTCTTGCCAGTCTCCAAATCAATAAACGTTATCAGCCACAGGAATTTTTCAGTATTTTTAAACGATACTTCCTGGCTTCTATCGATACGGAACACGAAAAGCTATGGAGTCACAGGGAGATTTTTTTTATTGGGTAATTAACGATTCTATTGAAGCGGTTTGTTGTCATGACAACGACTGTATCCTGCCCATGTACTTTCGCTTTGATAAATCAATTTGGAACTCTGGAAAAGGCAAGAATTTTATACTGAATTGCCGTTGATGTTATATGAAGGTTTGGTTTCTATGGCGATGTCTGCGATGCGATGAACTCAGTCAACTTTAACCCGAAAATTTCTCCGCTGAAACTGTATAAAATATTATTTACAGGACGGATCAACTTCCTGGTCTGCAAAGAGGTTCGATTATCTGTTGGATTCGGTAGTTGTCGAATCAACGTGTATATTTTACTTCAAGTTTTTAAAATAAGGTTAATTTCAGTGTGCACATTTTTTTCCATCTATTATTTTAAGAACCTTTAAAAAAATTATTTTACATCAGCTCCTTTAATGCAGTTTTAATCTCATCAACTGAATTTGAAGCTACGTCACAGATAGAACCTGAACACCTCTTCGGTCTTAATAATATTTAATGTACACATTTATTTTTTAACATAATTCATCGAACATTAACCATTCCTAGCACATAATTTATAAGTTATATTTACTTTGTAAATATCATTTCCCCCCCAAATTCTCGCACATTACGCCTTATAAATAACTCATAAATCAGTTTTATTTTGCACGTCTCACCCACTTTTTACATCTCCATCGCTGGAAGTTTTCAATGGAGTGCAATGCGCGCTGCATAGCAATCGCTTCCCTGCGGTAACTTGACGCCGGGAATTTATTGTAAGTTTCCACGGGCTTCTTTTGTGGACTTATGTTGCTGGGAATGATGGTGCTGGGAGGATGGGGGACTTATGTTGCTGGGAATGATGGTGCTGGGAGCTGGGAATGATGGTGTTGGGAGGATAGGGGACTTTTGTTGCTGGGAATGATGGTGCTGGGAGGAGGGGGACTTATGTTGCTGGGAATGATGGTGCTGGGAGGAGGGGGACTTATGTTGCTGGGAATGATGGTGCTGGGAGAATGGGGGACTTTAGTTGCTGGGATTGATGGTGCTGGGAAGATGTAAGACTTGAGAAACATTTATCGATTATTTTTTCATTCAAGATTTCAATATTTTATTCATAGGTTGAGTTCAAATAATTAAATTTTTGGTTAAGTTTGAAATTTCATAATGTAGAGTAGCACGGTCTCATTTGAGTTTATTTTCTCTGTATTAGGAAATGTCTTTTTACAAAAGAGCTGTAGAATTCTAACTTTGTACATGTACATTTTGTAATAAATTATTGAAGTCTATTTTAATCTACGCGTTTGATTTAGTTTGATGCTGGCTCCCGACTTGCCTGGTTGAAGGGAATATTTGATACGTATTTAGTAAGGAATCTCGTTCTGAATATTTACACGTTTTGTAGTTCTTAATGTATTTTTATTCGAAATAAAGTATTTTACTTATCCTATGTACGCTATGTGCAATAATAATTTATAAGAGATTATTTTTAGTATTGTAAATTTATTTTATAGAAACCGATTTCAATAAGAAGTTCAAGGAAACTCGGGTTTTCAAATCTTTCGTGAACGAATAAACTTTACGAGAGTATTGATGAAGGCTTAGAAAATGTTTTGAATTATTATTTGTTAGTTTTTTCTTAGAAATTTTTCTAGATCATGTTCTGAATCATACATAAAATAAACAAAATCCTAAAGAAATTATTTCGAATATATTTTCAATTTAGTACAGCGATCAGATGTGTGGATAAACAACGAGCAAATGTACTAAAATATTAGGTTCAATGTCCGTAGATTTATCGCAGTACGTTTTCTGTAGTTGGTTATGTAAGGGTTACTTAGGAATACTTACGATTTCACCAACATAAGTGAACTAACATGTGCAATTATTATGTTAATATACTTCAATTTCTCTTCGTTGATTTATGCGAATTAGAAATCTTTTATTTTTATAATTCACTCTCAAAGGATGAGTGGTACAGAATGCAGTTTATATTTTCCCTCTAATAATGTGGTTGTTTTCATGAAGAAAGCATTAAAACGAGACACAAGGCGTTTTTTTATTTAAAATATATTATTTTTTGACACTATTATATTCATAGCAATTTTACATACCCAAAATCCAAATTTATATTCTCAAATCTCAACTTATAAAATATAGCATGCTACTACTGCGTAATGCCAAATAATAGACGAGATGATACTCTTTGAGTATCATATACACATCTAAGTAGACACACCTGCAGCTGTCTTCTCCTCAGTAATAATGTACTTAGCTGCAATTAAGTTGCCACCAGATGTCTTTCTTCTAAGCGACTTAGCGCTACTAAGTTAAAGGCAGTTTGGGGACTATAAGCTGGACCCGGCCTTAGTGTGGTGTTCTAGGAACACTTGTGCGGTCAGATTGTCCTTTGCAGAACAATCTGTTGCAGGTGTCTGTTACTATAGTAGAGAAGATACTGTTGCAGTAGACTGTTGCAACAGTAGAATAGAATCTGTTGCTGTTGTCTGTTGCAACAGTCGAGCAAGAACTGTTGCAGTACACTGTTGCAACAGTAGAATAAGAACTGTTGCTGTTGTCTGTTGCAACAGTAGAGCAAGAACTGATGCAGTAGACTGTTGCAACAGTAGAAGAGGAACTGTTGCTGTTGTCTGTTGCAACAGTAGAGCAAGAACTGATGCAGTAGACTGTTGCAACAGTAGAGTAGGGACTGTTGCAGTAGACTGTTGCAACAGTAGAGCAGGAACTGTTGCTGTTGTCTGTTGCAACAGTAGAGCAAGAACTGATGCAGTAGACTGTTGCAACAGTAGAGTAGGGACTGTTGCAGTAGACTGTTGCAACAGTAGAGCAGGAACTGTTGCTGTTGTCTGTTGCAACAGTAGAGCAAGAACTGATGCAGTAGACTGTTGCAACAGTAGAGTAGGAACTGTTGCAGTAGACTGTTGCAACAGTAGAATAGGAACTGTTGCAGTAGACTGTTGCAACAGTAGAATAGGAACTGTTGCAGTAGACTGTTGCAACAGTAGAATAGGAACTGTTGCTGGTGACTGTTACAACTGTTGAGTAGTTTCTAGAAGATATAAATTAATTTCACTAAATCTAATTGAGTTTATTCCTTCAACGCAAGAGATTTCGTAAAGACGTGAACTAATTATTCTATTAATTAAAGTCAAATATTGAATAGAGAAATCAGTTAAACGATAGTTCATGATTTAATAATCGCAATAAATACTTGAAAATTGAGGCATTTTAAATAATTTAGTTGACGAGTCCAATACTTTTATTTTATTATCAGGTCGCAAATAAATGGTTTTAAATAATACTAGAATAGAAATGCTGGGAAAAAAACATACTAGAAAAACTTTTTGCTCTGCCGTTTTAGTTCGCTTGAACAACTCTATGTTTTCCATAACAAGTATATGTCAGTTATATGCAAAGTTAATTTTGACTAGTTCGCAAACATGAACTTCGTGCAGCAGACATAACTTCGTTCACTAGAAGTAAATACGTGAACTAGATATGACTTAGGGCACTAGACAAATCTTCGTTGACCAGACATGACTTAGGGCACTAGACATATCTTCGTGGACCAGACATGACTTAGGGCACTAGACATAACTTCGTGCACCAGACATAAAAAGGTCCATCAGATGTAGTTCAGTGTACTAGACATGAGAAATACGAATCAAACGAAACTCCGCACATCGAAATATTTTCGTACACTAGACATTATTACGTGTATCAGAGCTAAGTTCCTAAAAAGATATGCTCATGTACACCGCTTTTAAACAATGTGCACCTGACCAGAAATTACTGCGCGCAGAAATAAAACGTAATGTAAAAGAAATAAATTTGTACTTCATTTCGGGAAGCCCTGAAAAATTTTTCTGAATGTTTACTTTGCTCCTGAACCCTCGTACTTATATTTAAAATCAAGATTACATGATTGTTTCAGTGGCAAATATATCAAGAATTTAAAAGCAAAGAAAACAGTAAAAAAATTCATAATTTCTTACGAGAGAAAATGTTTCATGTTTACTCCATTATTACTTATTTTAATTTGAAAATTTATGTGTTAATAACCTCAATATCATTTTCATCTTTTTTTAATATCTACTTTATCAGTTTACAAATTGTTTGTGATAGTGTTCAAGATTTTTGAACAGACGATGTAGCTGGACTCCGACACGTGTTCCCTCATAAGAAACGACAAAAATATGTTCTTTTTTTACTTTCAAATTCTTGTTGTACAAAATAATGTTGTATGCAACTAAATATTTCTATTTCGTCCCGATATTAAATCCTTCCCTGACAAGAAAAGATTTATGGTTCGTAAATTTTCGATTAAATACTAATTCAATGCCGGAAAATTTCCTCGCCGAAGAAAGCTATTCATAAATAATTCACTGCAGCCATTATTGAGCATTATTATTTGAGTAAGCAAGCATTCAGAAATGTGAGAAAACATGCAATAAAATACACGAATACGATTCACTCTTTTAAAGGTCGATTCACATTCAGGTAAAAATATTTTGCCACGTGTCCTACAGAAATTATAGAAAAAAATGTTGTTTATTTGGAATGGTTAAGAGGTTTTAAGGCTTTCATACACAGACTTGTACAAAGAATAATTGATATATGTTGATGAATGAATGCTTCCATGTTCAGCTGTCGTGTTGGTAAGGCGACAGGTTAGTTAGTGCAAATTCCTATTGATATGCGTCGTTACGACTTATGCTATGTTATGTCGTTACGACTTATGCTACAGTTATGAGTTTTGTTGATAAGCAACACAGAGTTATGAGTTAATTATCTTGATTAGTAACATATAAAATATGTTATTATCGCCACTGCTAAAAAGGAGCTGATTACCGATGCTCAGAGTTGACCCTGTTTGTATTGTAATATACCTAAAATGGCCTATGGAGTAAGAAAATAAATTATTTGAAGAATTTATGCAGGAATAAAAATTGCCGGTCTTCCACAACAAGGTTTAACCACAACAAGGCATTATTCGCGGGACGTCCGTAAATTTCTGTATATAAATATTTTAAGGCCTGATGAGTACTGAGGAAATAACAAATAAGAACCTGTGTTATCTACTGTTATTCACTATACAAAATATTATAAATTTCGATATTATTATCTCCTTATGCGTTGCATTATTGTACAAAAAAATATTCACCTGTGATTCATTCATGTTATGCAGAACTTTAATTCGTTAATAATACCCCACCATTAGACCTCCAGGAGTCGCGGCCGACCAAATAAGCTACAACATCGTCGCCATGTAACTAATAAACTTCCAGCAACTGCTTAGAATTTTCTTCCGAAGTTACGTCGTCCTGATCCAGTAACTCGCTAAACTCAGCCTGGAACGACACCATTTTAGACCCATTCTTTTGAGAGTGGCCCAACACTCAGAAGAATGTGTGGGGCATATTATTCAAAAAGTGACACACATTCTGCATGTTGTACGTATACATCCTTTTTGCCGGGCCAAAATAGAACAGGATGATCCACACAAAAGTGGAACGTGCATCTTTTTGGACAAATTCTCTCCATTTCTCTGAGTGTACGCGCTCTTATTCTGTGAGAGGGCCTTTGAGTTTTGGCTTGCCACCAAAATATGGACTGCTTATCAGTCTAATGTGATGGACTCGAAGACGGATGGCAGCAGTTGACTACCTAGGGGAGCTTTATCCTCGCTTAGGGTAACTTGGCAAAAGCCTCCCGTAGACTTAACGCAAAATGCCGCTGATAAAACTACCCTAATCCTCGTCGAGGGAAAAAAAGTACATCAAAAGGCACGGAATAAAATACTATCTAAGAAATTAAGCACCACAATTTCAGCGTTAAATCTAAATGATAATGCTTACTGAAATGAGTTATTTCATTCCATTGCCGTAAGAATGCCGGATCTGGTGAAGCGATATGCCGAGTGAGTTTAACTGAACTCTGAAATTTGTCCAAAATAAGGAATTTGATGATTTTTTTCAAATTAAAACGCAGTCGAGACGCGTTATCTTTTAAAGAAAGAATTAATGCACAAAATTGTGTGAAGGGAGAGCAATGATCAAGATGGAGAGGTGGAGGACCTCCAGATGGAGAGGTGTAGGACCTCCAGATGGAGAGGTGGAGGACCTCCAGATGGAGGGGGCAGAGAGGCACCACATGGAGGGAGTAGAGGGATTCCACAAGAAGAGAGTCAGTCATCCCTCTGGACGCGGCTGACACGCATGCTGATTATTCCTTCATAAAAGAGGCCCCGGCAGTCGTAATGGACGCAATACCTTCGACCGACGCGATAGATGTCATCGAACATAGCGGCGCACAATGGAAAAAATAAATGAGTTATTTTGTCCGCATAGTAACACACTCTCTTACATACCCACAGCACGGGTAGAGACAGGACGTAACTCGGAGATACCTTATTGCTGGCACAACATGGGTTACAATGACCAACAGAAAGGCAAAAACTGCATCGCAATTGGGACAAAGTTTCACTAATTTCTCTGAGCGTAATAATGATATTGCCACCTGCACCTCCCGAATGATAACGCAGCAATGATATTGCTGCGTGCACCCCCCGAATGATATCATTATCCTGAAGCGAGACCTCTTCTCCGAAGTCTGAATGCTCGCGATGTTATCGCAGGCGTCGGTGTCCGTGCGGCCGTCGTAATCTATATTGCGATTGCATGGCCATGAATGACAGCGATTGCGTGACTACGATGAGTATGAATCCCACGTATTGTCTGGCGTCCGTGCGCAATGTATTTCGTATTGCGCTTCTGGACTTTGCATCACTAACTGAAATGAGTGGAACTTCGTCCAAATATCGATGCATGTCTCGCCGTTGTTTGGATCTGTGCCGTTGTTTATCTGTGTTATGTCCGCTTTCTGCAAGTGCTGTGGCTATGGAAGTGCGTTACTATTTGGACAATTTAACCCATTAATTTTTCTGAATGACGCGGTCGGTGAACGCTCGATCGTTCTCATTGAGTACAACGGCCGATAGGACGAGCGTGCGAACGGCCAATGAGAACTTCATAGAGATTCAAGTTACACGTAATATCCGGTGTTGATATCTCGAGGATGTTATGATTCCTCGAGGCTGAAAACAATGGCTTAAGTTATTGAATGTCAGCATTTTATTGAAACATAAGTCAGAAAATGATCAGTGCACAATTCTGATTTACTTTTCAACTGACGCCTTAATCTGCGTTTGCAAGAGAGTGTGCAAATATATTCTCACTAGACGGGAAAATTTGCCATTTTTGGCTTTATAATGTTTTTTCTTTATGAATTCTAAATAAATTTATTGAGATTTGGATTATGCATTATTTTCCGGTACACATGTAACCGCACAGTCCTCATGTAGATAAAAATGTAATGTAAATCTACATGTACATGATAAAAATGTAATGTAAATGTAAAAATCCACAAAACCAAATCAACATAAATAGCTGAAAACTGTCACCTGTACATTCTAATATTCATTCGAGACATATACGTAGAACTTAATCATTTGTAAAAATTCATAAATTGAACTGCAAGCTTGATTAAGAATTTTATGCAGAACGTCACATGTGAAGTTCTCATCTCATTTAATGATAGTAAACACAATAATACATGATAATGATGCATGATGAATAATGATGGATAATCTGATACTTAAATATGCCAATCCCAGTCAGCATTGATTTCCTATCTGCCATGTTATTCTAACGTCATCCAGCACAAATAAAAGATGATGAATGCTCATGAAATGAACAATTTTATGCACATTTAACAATATTATTCCAAAAACAATAAATACTGATACCCCATCTGCAATATTATTTTAACTTCATTCAACGCGTATCTCCCCAAAAGTCAGCGTCTTCAAGTTTAGTGTGTAAAGTTTTCAGATCCGCGGAGTTTCGAGACAAGCCAAGGATCTTCTAAGTATCATGAATCCCTCATCAGAGATCGTAAGGATCTCAGAGATCGTATTTTCCAGAAGAAGATCGAAAATACGGTCGACATCAGAATTCGTCGCGATCTCTTTCGGTCATTTGTATTCAGAAGCTCGCGGCTCAAGCCAAGATGCTCTATACTCGCAGATAAATGAGAGAGACTTTGTTCAAATTCCGATGCACTTTTCGCCCATGCGTGAGTCATCCTGACCATATTTACCCGGCAAAGTGGTATATTAGTGATACATCGTGGAATTGTGTCAATATTTGGACAATGTGACCTCTTAATTTTCTGAGTGAAGCTCCTGCCCACACTTTTCTGGAAACTTGGTAGGTTTGATTTTGGAATACTTGTTTTGCATATGGATATGATTTATGCATATGAATATGATTTATACGTAAAAATATGATTAATGCATATGCGCAGGTTGAATATGACTGCCCATTTTAAGTCAGAACTGAACTTTTCTTCCAATAGCTGAGAAAAACCGGATTAAATGTAAATAAATAATTTCTGTTATTTAATCATACAAGCAAAATGATGTTGATAATGACAACACACTAATAAATACAATAGTGTTTACAAATTATACAAATTTGTATAATTATATTACATAACAAATTATACAAATTTGTATAATTATATTACATACAAATTATATAAACATACAAATTATATTAGTGTTAAAAATACTTATAAAGATACGATAACATGAAAATAAAGAATATTAATTAATACAGAAGCAATTATTGACTTTGTGAACAATTCCTATTCTGCTTGACGTATATTGCAAGTGAATTGAATTAATAATCTACGGAAAAAAACATTTACAGAAAAGCAGGAAATCTTTTAAAGTTACGAACTGAAATAAAAATATTTTCGGATGAAATAAAAGTTTCCGGATCTCGTGGGTCTTAGAAGAAGCGCCAGCTATCGACGCAGCCTGTCGTGCCATGTCCGACATTGTATGGGGCACGTCTGGTTCTGAACGTCTCGTTCTGAACGTCTCGTTCTGAACGTCTATTTCTGAACGTCTCGTTCTGAACGTCTCGTTCTGAACGTCTCGTTCTGAACGTAATTTCTGAACGTCTCGTTCTGAACGTCCATTTCTGAACGTCTCGTTCTGAACGTCTATTTCTGAACGTCTCGTTCTGAACGTCTATTTCTGAACGTCTCATTCAGAACGTCTATTTCTGAACGTCTCGTTCTGAACGTATATTACCGAACGTCTCGTTCTGAACGTCTATTTCCGAACGTCTCGTTCTGAACGTGTAATTCTGAACGTCTTGTTCTGATCGTCTAATTCTGAACGTCTCGTTCTGAACGTCTAATTCTGAACGTCTCGTTCTGAACGTTTCGTTCTGAACGTTTCGTTCTGAACGTCTATTTCTGAACGTCTCGTTCTGAAGGGATATTTCCGAACGTCTCGTTCTGAATGTATATTTCCGAACGTCTCGTTCTGAACGCATCGTTCCGAACGTCTCGTTCTGAACGTCTCGTTCTATATGCACGTTCAGGGTGTTCCACTCACTTGTAAAATAATGTGATTAGAGTGAGAAAATTTTAAGAACTATGTTTCTAAGCACACTTGGTTAAACATCAGGTAAAAGGTAGCTCTTCATTAATAGAAAATAATAACTCTATACTCCATACTCTATATTCATTACTCTATACTCAATACTCTATACTCTATACTCTATACAAAGAATAGAATACAAACCTCTTCACAGCATGCTCAAGTTTCGATAGGGTTCTCTTCACAAAAAGTGTTACAGTCATTTTAAAATACACAGTTTCCTTGGACTTCTGTCAACATAAACGCTATTTAGTGACTTTCCGTGCGCGGTGTGGTTAAAGTACCGCGCTTCAGGGTAACTCTGGCGTCTAGACAGTTTTTTAGGGTAAATGCGTACCTGCACCAAGGTTTCTATTTATACCTGACAGGAGTCATTAACACGACGGCTTGTCTCGAGTCTTGGCGTCGGTAGTAATGCAACAAGTTTTATTTTGGGACCAGAAAATGTTATAGGTTAATTACGGAGCAATGGTACGCAATAAATTGGTCTTTGGTACCCAAATTTTATGAAGAAGAATAACGATGGAACAAATTTAATAAAATAATTATTACTGCATAAGAAATCTGAAAACGTAGCTTCTCACAGACAAAATAATCTATTTTTTCTTCATTGCGCAAGACAGTCTCTGGTAAAAGAAACATTCAATAATAATCCGAGGCTATAAGAGATCCAAAGTAGCTACAAAGATATAAAGATATACATAGTAATGTAAATAATGTAGTGCCTGTAGAGTATCTGTATTGACGGAGTATTGAAGATGAGGCCATTTATCATGGAGACAACCCACTCAACTATTTAAATTAAGAACATTTCAGAATAATGTGATGCCTATAAATAACCTGTCATACGCACATGAATACCTCAAAATTTGATATGAATTTGCTGCTTTGATCAGTTATAAACGACACGAATTATTCAAAAATTTGTTTAATGAATGTTGACCCCCGCGAATATATTTTTATATATTTATCCAGTGAATTATTCAGCAAGAAATGCGTTTACTTTACGACATATTTAGTTTGCCTTAATTCAGCAGTTTAATTATTGATGATGGATCCAGCTTTTCCATTTGAAAATTCGAATGAATTTCTCTTTAATGCTCAATTATAAGTTTGCTCGCTTACATAATAAAGTTGTGAAATTTCAAGATATATTCTCACACTTGTGGCAATCGACCTTGTCTGCTTTTGTATGCGATTTTTTGTCAGAAAGTGTAATTTTTTACACGTGCTATCTATCTAAAATCTTATAATATCAATTTATAATTAACATATTTCCATTATCTACTTCCGGCCAAGTCCCGTGCACGTGAATGGTTAATAAATTCGTCACAGCTGCACTAACCGAGCCGCTACAATTGTTAAGTGAGCAAATGCATACTGATGTAAATTCGAAATATTTCATTTCCGTGATCATATACTTTCAGACCAGCAACAAAATTTTCGTCGTTCAACAGTTGTGATATAAAGGAATTATCATATTCTTAACATATTAATCATTCGCCACTGAAGACATTATTTAAATGCTTGAGGCTAAGAATAACAAGACAGGTACAAACTTCGCCACTTGCATGTACATGTATGAACACTACACTCACTATACGAGGTGCAGAGTGTATGAAGTTCGTTCCGTGTACGATATATGTGTATGTTTGAACATGTCACTACGAACGTATCC